AAATGACACTTTTGTACGGGAAGTACCCGAAAAAAGCATTTTTCAGGGTTTCGATCAAGGCAAACTGCCATTTTTTTGCAAAAATAATGGGAGTCTGTGAACAATTGAATACCTACTTGCCCATAAATTTGGTCCAAAATCGACATTTCTTGAAATTTTCCTCGAAAAATCCATGGATGAGATTGAAAAAGGAGTATGTTTTTTCTTCGATTTATATTTTTGAAAAGGCGAGTATGTTTTCTGATGATTCTGTTGGCGTTAAAGTAGAGTATGTTGTAGTACCGTCTAGCCTCCGTGGTCTTCATGGTTTTCGCGCAACTGATAAAAGATAACAACATGGTGTCTTCGCAAAAGTTGTGGTACTCGAGGTCTTCTATAACTAAGCTGAAGACAATTATCTCTTATCTCTTATCAGTTGCGCGCAAATCGCGCACATAAAAAAGCAAATTTTATATGGAACTTTTTTTTTCTTATCATTTTTCGCGCTTTTCGCGGAACTGATAAGAGATAAGAGATGACTGACTTCAGCAATATTATAGAAGACCACGCGTGCTACAACTTTGTCGAAAACACAAAGTTGTTATCTCTTATCAGTTCCGCGGAAACCGTGGAAAACCGCGAGGACCCACCAAAAATGAACATACTCGCCTTTAACCATTTTTGAGTCGAAAGAAACTTGCTCTACTCTTTCGTAACAAAGTCAATGAAACATACACTACTCTCAATCTCACCCATAGAAATAGACTTTTGTATAAAAAATCACTCAGAAAGCCATTTTTTAGGGTTTAGGTCAAAGCAAACTGATATTTTTTTGCAAAAATAATGGGAGCCTTCAAACAACCGAACACCTACTTGCCCATAAATTTGGTCCGAAATCAACATTTCTTGAAATTTTGTTCGAAAATGACACTTTTGTATGGAAAATGGTCGAAATAGTTATATTTTAAGGTCAAAAATGCTATGAAAAAAGGGTCCATTGAAATTTTGGTTAAAAATTAAGCGGGAGTTAAACTAAATTGCTGCGGAGCGGAAAAGTTTGGATTACGTATGTAATTCGTTTTATTTAGGCATTGTCTCACTCTTAACTCGCAAGTCATTTAAACTTAATTGTAAGGTCTTAGGACGCGAGCGTTTGCTATGATTGAGAGTAAAATGGAGAAATTTAGCATATTTTGGGTTGAAAGAAAAATCGTACTTTTTGAAGGACATCCAAATGTTGGAAGATCGTTGGGCTCGCTGTATCGAGCTAAAAGGAGAATATGTTGAGGAATAAAATTGAATTTTTCGAAAAAAAATGTGTTTTCATTCAAAAAGTACCCAACTTTTCAATCCACCTAGTATTCCATTCGAATGAAATTTTCCAATTTTTTTTAAAAAAAGTCAAAAAAAAACAATTTCAAAAAAATCAATTTTTTTCAAAAAAACTCAAAAAAAATCAAAATAATCGATGAAATTATTGCGGTTTTTGATGCAAATCGTCATTATTCGTCCCAATTCATTTCAACCGACAAAAATTTCCCCCGAAAATGCGAAGGAGAACGAAAAAAAAATTCTAGCCGGCTATAAATTTTATGGCCGGCTAGAAAATGAAAATTGTCATTACAGCGACAAATGCCTCAAACTATTGGTGGATTTGGGTCCAGGGTCCAGTGGTTTGCAATAGCCGAGAATTAAATAACCTGACATAACAAACCCACCTGCATACGCCGAAAGACGGATTTGAATTTTTCTGGCCGGCCATAAAATTTATAGCCGAGCATTTGGACTCAGCTCAAGAGATCGTTTCCTTTTTTTCGAATTCAATTAGAGATTATTTTTAGGCATCACTTCTTATAAATAGAGATCAATTTTATATTTTTGAAAAAAAAAATCTCTTTTAATTTTCGAGACCAGTTATTTATTTTCAAAATTCATTTAATTTAAATAGTAGGTACTCCATATGTTTTTTTCTAGTGACCATTTAATTTTTTTTAATTAATATTTTTGAAGATTAATTCCTCTTTTTCGCAACCAATTCCAGATTTTCAGTAACCATTTCTTAATTTTAGTGACCGTTTCATTAAAATTAAATACCAAAAAATATGTGTCATGAACAAAATCTTCATCAGAACTGTGATATTACGAGAAGATATTAGTATCACCAACACAGAAAACATTCAATTTAGTACATCTGTCAAAAAGCACGAAGAGGCTTGAGGTACTTTACTTAAAAAGACAAATAACTTGAGCTGTTTTTTGACAGAATATTAATCGATGGTCGAACAAAGCAACAATATTGGTTGGTATGGTCATAGAATGACAAAAAAATGTTTTGAAATTAATTCTACACTACAATCGAAAATGAGAAGGAAATCATCCGATTACTCAGCTAAATTGGTTCAGCTATTCGTCACCTGAAAAATACACATCGATCAAAAAGATCAAACTAATTTCCTATTTTGTGAAAAAAATATGCAAAATTACCATTGTTAGTAGACAATTGAATCTATTCAAAATGCTCTGCAATATTAATTTTGTTTCCTTTACCGATAAAAAGTCTGACGACTTCATTGTGACCTAAAAATAATACAGATCAATGAAAAAGATCAAATCGATATCTTATTTAGTCAGCTTTACCATTGTTAACAGCTACTTGAAGAGGCGTCTGATTCGCATTATTTTTAATGAGAGTATTGGCTCCTTTATCGATGAGAAGCTTAGCGATACTCCTATAACCTAAAAAGTAATTTAGATTGATGAAAAAGAGCAAATCAATCTTCTATTAGTAAGGACAAGTATCCAATTCTAGATCCAATTATTACCATTCTGAGCAGCTAAATGAAGAGGTGTGTTTTTCGCAGTATTTTCACTATTAACATTGGCTCCTTTACTAATGAGCGATTCGACAACATTCTTGTGACCTGAAAAATAACACAGATCGATGAAAAAAATAAAAATGTTTTCCTATTTAGTGAGAACAAATAATCAACATTACCATTCAAAGCAGCTAAATGAAGTGGTGTATTGAACAAATGATTTTTCATTTCATAATTAGCTCCTTTATTGAGTAGAAGTTCAGCAACATTCTTATGACCTGAAAAATAATTTTGACCGATGAATAAGATCAAATCAATCTTTTATTTAGTGGACCTCTCAAAATCTCGTAGACAGCGTTTTTAATGTGTAGAAACGTAAATGGACATTCCGGAACACAGCAATCGTGTAATGTGTAAGTTATGGTGTGGCCGAAAAAAGAAATATGCAATTGAATCCCACCATATCGTGTGAACGTTTACCGTACGTCTAAGTACTGAGTGTATGTGTGAGTACAGCCAGCACTCACACGACATTGTGTGATTCAATTGCACATCGGTTTTTTTCGGCCTACTATAAATCATGTACACATAGCTTACACATAAAGGTGTCAACGAACACCGACTCTGTTCGTTCGTTCGTTCGTGGGCGCTTCAAAAATTGACGAACGTTCGTTCGTTTGTTCGAAAATTTTTGGATTGTTTACGAACGTTCGTTCGTTTGTTCGGAAATTTTCCACGAACAAACGAACACGAACATCGAACTGTTCGAAATTCATACAAAAATTCGAACGTTCGGAAAATTTACGAACACACGAACAATTTTCCACTGTTCGAACCTTTTCATTGATTTTCGAACGTTCGGGGAAAATTTTTCCATCTTCACAAGGAATATTTTGAGCTCAACTCAATTTAATCGTTGCAACGATTGGCCACACACTCGCAC